TCCAATAATCAGCAAATTTTTTCATGAGTTTTCTAAAACTTATAAAGATAACCTCCTTATTGGCAAGGCCACTTCCTGTTACATTCTGATAAGGGTAGATTTCACAACGGCATAAGCTGGACACTTTTCACAGCCTACCGGAATTCAGATCAGTGTGCTGAACAGAAATTGTTACGGCTTTACCACTAAGTCTTCTCAACAGCGAGCTTGTCCAGGCTTTCAGTGATATAGCTGACATTTTGTTCACCTGAATAGCATCAGGGAAAATTTGTCAGAACTGGGAGGGTCACCTATAGCCAGCAGCAGCATAGGAATAAAATGTGGACACTCTCCAGTATCAAATACATCCATTTCCCTTTGTCTATATATGCTTTTACCAGTGTAATCAATAGCATGTTAGGTTGTGAATATTATACTATTTTGTGCATATTGTAATAATACATATTTTGAGTTTCTAGTAATTAAATACATGGACTCCAAGCAGGGAACTTTTTCTAGATAGTGCAATGTGAGTTAGTTAGTAGTAGTAGTGAGTAGCCTAATACATAAAGCGATTTGGCACTGTCCTTGTGCCAACACGGCCACTACCACTTCCCTGTGTAGTACAATATACCAAGATAATAAAGAAGTTTATGTGCATTTCATATCACTCGCTTTCAGTACTTTTGTATCAAGAAACTACTTTTGAGTCAAAGTATTTTGAGTTTAGGTATTTTCACATGTGGGTTATGTAAAAACAAGTAATATACAGAACACAAGGTGTGAATCCGCAAAAAGAATAGTGTGGCTCTTGTTCTTCAAATGAAGCATAGTATGAGATGCTCTCAGGGTGGGCTCCCATGGTTATATACACACGGTTTCTTGCAATTAGTGGCTTCTTATTAGGACTGTTGGGGAGTTGTCTGGAGACATCTTTCTCTTTATTAGGTAAGCTTTTGTTCTGTAATATTTACCAAAGGAAGATGGCCCAATCTTCACAGCCCACGGTCTACTTTTCTCTAGTCACATGGAGTTACAGTCCTCCCATCTCACCCTTGGGACGCGGGTGACTGGAAGCACTTTCTTCCAGGAAATGGTAAGTGCTCCTTAGGAGGGACTCCAGTAGTCTGTGCTACAGAGCAAAACCTCCATCGTTTAGGGTACTGACTGTTCTGGCAAAGACTAGAATGGGCTTACGATTTGGAATTTGAGGGGAAAGACACAAATTTCTAAGTTTTTCACAATTATTATTTACATGATAAACATTCATTTTAGGTGAATTATTCCTGTACCTACTGACCTCCGATTTGGCATCTGTTTTAATCCCAACACATATATCTTTTTTTTTTTTTTTCATTTTCGATTATCTTAATATACAGAAGATCAGCTTAGTATACATTAAGTAAGGATTTCAACAGTTTGCTCCCACACAGAAACATAAAGTGAAAAATAATAGATGATTTTTTTTAATGATGATGAAATCAGATCAGACCTATTGTCATGTTTAATCCCAGTGAGAGTCAAGTTGGGAGTTGATAGTTTCTATTCTTTTTTTTTTTTTTGTTTTTTTTCACAGAGGATCAGTTTAGTATGCATTAAGTAAAGATTTCAACAGTTTGCACCCCCATAGAAACACAAAGTGAAATATATTATTTGAGTACTCGTTATAGCATTAAATCTCAATGCACAGCACATTAATGACAGAGATCCTACATGAGGAGTAAGTGCACAGTGACTCCTGTTGTTGACTTTACCAATTGACACTCCTGTCTATGGCATCAGTAATCTCCCTATGCTCCAGTCATGAGTTTCCAAGGCTATGGAAGCCCCTTGAGTTCTCCGACTCTTATCTTGTTTAGACAAGGTCATAGTCAAAGTGAAGGTTCTCTCCTCCCTTCAGAGAAAGGTACCTCCTTCTTTGAAGACCTGTTCTTTTCACTGAGATCTCACTCACAGAGATCTTTTGCCAGAGTGTCTTGGCTTTCCATGCCTGAAATACTCTCATGGGCTTTTCAGCCAGATCTGAATGCCTTTAGGGCTGATTCTGAGGCCAGAGTGCTATTTAGGGCATCTGCCATTCTATGAGTCTGCTGAGTATCTCACTTCCCATGTTGGATCACTCTCCCCTTTATTTATTCTATCGGTTAGTGTTAGCAGGTACTAGACTTGCTTATGTGCTCCCTTTGACTCTTAGTCCTTTCATTATGATCAATTGCGAACTGAAATTGATCACTTGGACTAGTGAGATGGCATTGGTACATGCCACCTTGATGGGATTAAATTGGAGTCCCCTGGTATGTTTCTAACTCTACCATTTGGGGCAAGTCAGCTTGAGCATGTCCCAAATTATATATCTCTTCCCTCTCTTCTTCCTACTCTTATGTTTAACAGGGATCACATTTCAGTTAAATTTCAACACTTAAGAATAACTGTGTATTAATTACAGAATTAAATCAGTCATATTAAGTAGAACAGACAAAAAAACTACTAAGAGGGATAATGTATTAAGTTGTTCATTAACAGTCAGGGCTATGCTGATCAAGTCACCGTTTCCCATAGTGTCCCTTTCACTTCAACAAGTTTCCTTTTTGGTGTTCAGTCAGTTGTCACCGATCAGGGAGAACATATGGTATTTGTCCCTTTGGGACTGGCTTATTTCACTCAGCATGATGTGTTCCAGATTCCTCCATTTTGTTGCAAATGACTGGATTTCGTTGTTTCTTACTGCAGTATAGTATTCTAAAGAGTACATATCCCATAATTTCTTTATCCAGTCTACCGTTGATGGGCATTTAGTCCAACACATATATCTTAATACTGATATTCTCTGTTTTTCTTTCTTTCAGTGACTTAAAAAAAGACTCAAAATTCAGCTGCATTCAGAATTCTAACAGATCTTTTGAAAGCAATAACTTGTAGGATATAATTGACATTCAGAACTAAAATCTGATCTACTTCAAGCAATGAAATTATACTACTCTGAAAGGACTGCTATAATAAATCCACCTGAGTGTTAAAAATGCAGCCATTAAAGTAGCCAAGAAAATATTAATGTACTAACATTACATGTTTTATGCTACTTCCTTATAACCTCAAGACACATTAGTAATAAAACGTACCCCTAGGCTGGATTTCTAAATGAGCTGACGTGCTGTGTGAAGTTAGTGGATACAGAACAATTAAACTTTGGGAGCTGCAAACGCAAACTTGCTAGTTTGTCTTCTGTGAAATACTGGCCACGGGTATCACTTCTATGTGAGGGGGACAGAGAAGCCATTTCTTGTTATGTTCTTTAATACATACATTCTTTCCCAGGTTTTCTTCTCATTCTTGCTCAAGTTCTCCCCTGAATATATTCTCCTGTTTGTCTTCATTTGCTGTCAGCTAGAGTTTTTATTTTTTTATTTATTTTTTTCTTCTACCAATGAACACACTTCCCAGAAAATCCTGTCCTATCCTGCTCTCTCCTATCCACAATTTGCCAAGTACAGCTTGCTCATTGGCATTAATGTGACCTGTCATTTGCCTTTGCTTTCTTTAGAGTTGTGCAATTATACACACTGTTCCCTCTGTCTAGAATCATTTGCCTTTTACGTTCCTGACCCGCTTATCTGTGAGTGGCATAACCAGCATCACTCAGCTCAAGTGTCACTGCCTCTATGATGGGCTCTTTTCTATAGTCCCCTGTTCTTGTATAGCTATCATATTGCATTATAACTGTTGGTTTATGACACCTTTGCCCTCATGCTAACTTAGGGTACATTTCCACCCTCAGTATCTTACATAATTTTTGGAACTCTGTTGTTAACTAATCAATATATGTTGGATGAATTGTAACTATAAGAAATGTAAGAAAGACTGCTTACAGCACTGCTTAAAGTATTCATATTCATATGCATTTCAGAACTACTAATTCAATATAAACTTGATCTAATAACAATGAGAGTTCTAGGGTATCATTAATGCATAATAATAAGAAATTTTAACCCAGGCCATATTGGGCTCACATATTATTTTGTATACTTCCTGCATTTGGTTCTGAAACTGAAATTTTAAAAATATTCTAATATGTGCCTGTCAAATTACAAAACTATTAAACACGAAGTTATTCCTTTTGGTTAAAGATTTAACTGTAGTTTTTATTCTGTAAATATTTCATTTAAATTCAAATTGAACATTTTTCTCAATACCAGAATTAACTTATTTTTAACAAAATGTGATTTTTATTAGCAAGTTTTACTTCTAATATAAAGAAAATGTTAAACTTTAAAATGTATACTTATATAAGTGTGTACTGACTGGGGTTTTTATTCTACTTTTCATAACATTATTCCTACTAAATCTTGATGCAAAAACTGAATCAGGAAAGCATTTAAACAAAAAAATTCTAAAAGAAACTTGTCGCCAGCGCCGCGGCTCACTAGGCTAATCCTTCACCTAGCAGCACTGGCACACCGGGTTCTAGTCCCGGTTGGGGCGCCGGATTCTGTCCCGGTTGCCCCTCTTCCAGGCCAGCCCTCTGCTGTGGCCAGGGAGTGCAGTGGAGGATGGCCCAGGTGCTTGGGCCCTGCACCCCATGGGAGACCAGGAAAAGCACCTGGCTCCTGGCTCCTGCCATCGGATCAGCGTGGTGCGCCGGCCGCAGCGGCCATTGGAGGGTGAACCAACGGCAAAGGAAGACCTTTCTCTCTGTCTCTCTCTCTCACTGTCCACTCTGCCTGTCAAAAAAATAAAAAAATAAAAAAATAAAAAAATAAATAAATAAATAAATAAAACAGTTTCAGTTAAAAAAAAAAAAAAAAGAAAAGAAACTTGTCAGTAAATCAGAACTGCCCAAAGATGGGTTTGTATCAAAAGTTTTTTCCCGGCACAATGTGGATTATGTTTAGCATAGTGGGTACCAAGCACGACAGGAACAGAAATACAGCCATGTGTGCCCCAGATGGCCCTGCGTATGTCCCTCCAGGGCCAGGATAAGCTCTCAGTCCATGGAAGAGTCTCTGGGAAAAAGTAAGGATTACCTGCTCTGTCCTTGTGGCCACTTAAGTGCGACAGGAGGTTGTCATTGGTCTGAACGCAGTAGGCCTCTCTGGTCTGAATGCCTCCCCCGCAGAGGGCCGTCTGGTTGCCACGCCTCTTATCCTGCTGGCTGAGCAAAGGGTCCACACGGCACTCAGTCCACTCTGTGGTTCTCCAGCCATACCTAAGTAAACACGTAAGCAGAAATGTCGCAGATGGCACCATATGGACTTGATAAAACTTTCCTCCGTGATTTTTTTTTTCTTAAAAAATAACCTAAAAGACATCTTCTCTTAGATCCCACTGTAGACTACATCTCTGGTGTAGACTCAGTTCAACCCCTTCCTTTACGCTCAGCAGCATTCCATTTAAGGAGAGGTTAAATTTAGGGTCATTTTATTCTAATTGCAACTGCTCCAAGTTGCTTATAAATATTTTATGAAAAGAGAACATCATGCTGGAAACATGAAATCTTATGTTCAATTAAGTGAAACCCGGGCTCACCATTTCTTGATGCTTATAAACAAAGGAAGATTGGATCTGAGAATGGAAAACATCATAAATGATGATGAACCCAAACACTTGCTTTGCCTTTAGTGAAATGAATGAAAATTGCTTCTTCATACACAATTATAATTGTGTGTTAGGACTAAGAAATAGAGCACAACAATTTAGAGTTTCCGCTTTAGTGTCAAGCATAGGAAGGTTTTTTTTTTTTTCTGTAACACTGAGCATCCCTGATGAGTGCTGATGAATGCTGAAAGGAGCTGACGTTTCTAATCAGTGGAGTACAAGAAAGAGGATCTGTGATTCTCAATTAAAGCTCCAATCAAGATTACATGTGAAAGAAGTATCAGGGGATGTTCAGTGCATCACGTGCTTCAAGGAGATGGGCAAGGAGTCATTTTCTGATGCCACTGAAGATAGAAAGTGGTGGCATTTCTCCACCAAGAGGAGAATGCATATTCCAACCGCTCAAGGAAAATGGCTCACGTAGCACTTCGCATTACTTTAACCAAATGTTTCCTTAGTAATCAGATTAACAGCCAACACAAGTACCAGCGGATGTGTTAATGTTCGCTTCAATTAGACAAAAAGGTTAACTGAATCCTCAGATGTCCAATCTAGATGTTTTCTTTGTCAGGGGTGAAGTTTTGTGACAGCAGAGCTGAGCTTCAGGCGGCTTTTCCATTTTTATAAGTGGGGATTCGGGGCTTAGAGTTGAGGGAGCAGATCATCCAGGAGGGCACTCTTGGCATTTGTTTATAAAGGAAGGGCAGCACCTGGGTCCATTGCAGACACATGAATAATTGATGACTGGTTGGAGGGGTATGGGAGCGAGGGACATGTAACAAGGCATTTGTTAACATTTTTTTTTTTTAGCAAATATATACAGCTGAGGTTTAGGATGCTGTTTATTGCCATTTTTATTTTTTCCAGCTTTAATTAAAGCTTTCATTGATGGTGAAATAATTGGTGCTGGAATGATCCTTGAGACTGTATTAAAATAACATTAAAAGTCACTATTATAGTACTTTTGAAATACCTAGCAAAGAACAGTTAGTACATTTCATATAACAACTAGAATTTTTACTTGCTAACTGCCTTGAGGGGTTTAACAGGGAAGATGCTAACATGTCTGTAGCATATTAGTGTAATGACTATTTTTAACTTTTTTTTAAAAACATAGATTAATACATCTATCCCTTTGTTACATTTTTTACACATACAGAAAAGAATACTATGCATTATCTCTATTTTGTTTTCAAGTAGAGTTTTAAAATAGGTATTTTGTCTTCAGTAACAAAATTATTCAGTTTTGCTTTTTGTCATCAAACAGTATGTCGGTTTTCAGTAACAAGTGGTTTTGTTGTTGTTGATTAGTATCATGGATTGATGTTTCCAGATATCGTGACTACTCCATGTCAGGATGTTAATTTCTCCTTTGATAAATGCAAATACTATTTCCTGGCTCAGATTTAAACCAAAGCAGCACCCATCCTCGAATTCTAAGTATATCACTACTAAGTATTTCAGTAAATTTCTCTGAACTCTACATTTTATGTCTTGAGAATAGAACATTCAAAGCAAAGTCAGAATCTGTTATCAGATGTGTAGTAACACCAGGGATATGAAATCAAGCAAGTAATTTGGATAGTGAAATAGTCATTTTTTGGCAAAAGAACAGAGCTCTAATTTAGGTCATCCAAAGAAGTCTTGTGAGAGGAATAGTATTTCAGCAATGGACACTGGTTCCAGATTCTAAGAAAATGCTATTCCCCCAAAAGGAGAGAAGAGTTAATTAAGTCTATCTGTACGTATTTTGTTAATGATATTTGATTTTCTGAGAGGATAAAGAATAAAGCAACTAACTTGAGACAAAAGTAGAAGAAATCTGTAGGAGAAAAAACACTGGAAATCCTGCCAGTTCCTTGAGCCTTTTTTATGGAGCGGAGCCATAGTCAGTGGACAGGTAGAGACAGGAACCTCTCTGTGGAGTTGTCGTCACTGGAGTTACACTGGGGGACAGTGCATGACTCTGAAGTGCTGCAGAATTAAAGCTCACATATAAATCATCACCACTGTTGTTACTCTAGTAGTGACTTGTATTAATTATTAAGTATTAATAATATTAAGTATTAAATATTAATTTGTATCCCTGCCAGTTCATGAAGCTTGAACTATATGCATGTTCTCAGATATTTAGGACATTCCAAAGAAGCTGTCAATGAAGTGAATCTCTATTGAGAAACTACAATTCTCAAAGTCACTCTATAAATATTCTGTATTGAGACTATCCTGAAATATTGTTATTGCAACATCATAATTCACAAGAATGTCCTGGAAACGATATTTTTAAAGAAAAAAGAGCAGTGTTATTCTGCCAAATACTTCAGAACTAGTCAGTGTATTTGAAATCATTAATGTTTATTGAGCATTTAGAGTTCGCAAGGCCTTGTGATATAGGTTGGTGATAAAAGAAATGAGACAAAATCCCCCAAGAACAAACACTAATAAGCACAATTCTTTTCCCCAAGGAGTTTAAAGTCTCATTAATTTGATGTAGAATTTAACTCTATTGAATAGGTTTTTATACATATGCATTACTATTTTTAATAGGTCACAGGAACCTGTGGTTCAAAGTTTGCTTTACCTTACAGAAGGGACGGTAACTATCAGTGGTCCAAGGACCAAATTAACCCATCACCTGTTCTGGTAAATAAAGTTTTACTGGAACAGAGCACACTCAACTGTTCACACACTATCTACAGCTCCAAAGGTGGTGGTGAGTCATCACAAGACAGACATATGTGGCCTGCAATGCTTAACGCATTTACTATCTGTTCCTTTACAGAAAAAAACTTACCAACTTCTATTATAGAAAATATATTAAACCTAGAGAAGTTATTAAAAATTGGAAATGCAGGGCTTGTATTTTTATTACATAAACCAAGTTAAAAAAGTATAGTACAGTGTAGTGTTTGCAAATATATATCTTATCTTTCCAGTTTGCATGCTAAAAGTCACTATTGCTCAATATACTCAGATGGACTCAAACAGTGGGTGGACACTCAATTTGGGCAGACACTGTACCCTTCTTTATTTACTCACATGGCACAAGGGGCCACTCCATCGCCTTGAGACACACAGGGTTCCCGCTCCTCAAGCTCGGGACATTGTTTTTCACTGGCAATGGGAAACTGCCTGACGGTCCGCGTTCTGACGCGAGTGCCTGCAGGGGATGCCGCATCATGGCACGTTTTTGAGCACGGAGTCCATTGCAGCCACTCAGACACCTGGCACTCTTTGGTGATCACACAAGACTGGAAGGTCACTGGCAGCTTCCCTTGCTGGCAAAAGCTGTAAGAGAAAATTGATATTCTCATCAGAGACTTACAGTCAGCTAAGAATTTCGGGTTCTACATTCCAGACTAAAATCAGCTTGGACACTTTTATTCCTACTTGGAGGTGTGACTCCAATTTCACTCAAAATATATCAACATTTATGATGTGTAAAAGCAGACTTAATGCTCACACTTGCATTCCCTATTTTGTAAGAGTTGTTAAATCATTAGTAGGAAACAAAATAAAGGGGATAAAGCAGAATTAGCTAAAGCTAAATTTGCCACATTGCTCATTTTACTCATTCCAGATTGGTTTAATTTAGGAAATGAGAAACCAAGAACTGTTAACATATGCTAATTTCTATTCTGCTTAGTGATTCAAATAAACATGCCTAATACAATATTGTTTTAACTAGAAAAAGTAATTTAATATGTGATTTAACATTAATTTTAATGTCACTTAAAACTTACGCTCTGATTTACAATTATAATGTATGATTATTCAAATATATCAACTTTATCAATTCATACTTTAATACACAGGAGACAAATGGGAATCCTAGTTAAATACACCTAAGTATTAGAAATATACCTCTTGTTTACCTAGATACTATAGAGATAATCCTCTAAATACAGCTCTTTTATTTCATCAGTAAACTATGCTCAAATGCTGATATAACCTACTTAAGTTAGAGGGATATTGCATTCTAAATTATATTACCTACATATAAAGATGAAGATGACATCATCAGTGTCAACAATTAGCGACAATGTATTTTGAGGACTTTTTCTGGAAAATAGAGACTGTGAAAATTCTTGGTTGAAACCTCACTCAATGTCAATAACCAATAGTGCATATTTCTAAGATACAGGCAGACTCTTGCCTTGACAGAGCCACCCAGTTTAATGGGATAATTCCATCTCATCATTCAGGTGCCATGATTATCTGTGGTAATCAACCATAGAGAGAGGCAGGATCATTTTAACATAATGACTCTCATTCAGTAGCTTTAGTTCTATTTGAAAGTATATAAAATTTGCATTCCAGGGAGATAATTTAAGCTCATAGTATCTGTCAATTTGTCAGAGCTGAGAGACCTGAGAAAATCATCTAAAATGGTAGGAAGAGGGCTCTCTGGGTGAGCTGCACTTTCCCTATGATAATAGAAAAGACCAAAAATTCCATTTCTCCTCCAGTGTCATGTATTGGGTAGTAACTATACTTTACCAATAACAGTAACCAGCAAAACTTTCTCTGTGATCACCAAACTTTCACTCTGGAGTTTATTCATGAAAATGAGGCAAAGTTACAAACAAATGAGGCCCTCTATAACTGTTCTTTTACCAAATTCAACCTATTTCAAAATTTGACATACTTCATTTTAGAAACATTTCTTATCATTCATGATATTATTTTCATATACATAGTTATATATTATTTTTTACCTAATACTTATTAAGTTCATGTTCTATATGAAAGCAATGGATTAACAATCTCTTAACCTTTTGTGGAGAACTTGACCACTGGTTAACTACTTCCAGTGACAGTTACCCTGGTAACATGATAAAAAATAGAATTTTAACTATACCACTATGTCACACATTTTTTTGATAAAATGACTCATCTGGATAAACTGCACATGCACTATGAAACTACAAACACCAAATATATAGCCACAGCTTTGGGCCTCCCCAAGTGTGACAACACAGGAAGAGTACTTGTCTGTAGAATTTTGTTCCAAGAGAAATCGGTTCCTGTGGACATGAAGTTTTTAAGTCAGGCAGTTCCTGGATCTATCTGATTTAGTGCTTCTTGCACCTGACCTGTAAGTTCTGGATACCTAGATAAATTCTCACCAGACACCAAGTTCTGTTCTTTATTCTTCTACTCATACTGATGACAAGTGTGGCTTTTGGTACTCTAATGGGTCCCATGAATATGAAAGCTTGGTAGGGACTAAGTATAAAACTTAACTCATACTACCTCATTTAACACCTCCAATAATCCTTTTATGTAGATATCACTGTTAGTTCTACTATATAAAGAAGCAGCCTTCTAGAGGTTAGAGAAACTGCTGATGGTCATACAACTGATAAGAAGTGGAGTGGAACTTAGATTTTTTAAGAAACTGAGCCCATTTTCTTAGCCATGATGCCCCGTTTCTCACACAGTCAACTACCTATAAATCTCAGCTTGTTAAAGCAACTGCTTTAGTTAAGGCTAATCCCAAAGTTACTGACACACTGTTCATCAACCATTTCACAGACCCAGGATTTGCCACAGCTGTGCAGCTATGCACTTTGTAAATATGCTATTTGCACTAAGGAGGTCTTGGCACGTTCATGAAGATGCTAAAAAGAACATTTTTCCTAACACATGTCAACACTTTTCAACATAGAGCCTATATATAAGAAAGTGGCATAACCATGAGAGTAATATTAATTATATGATTATACAGTTTTTATGTGTGGCATGAATAACATGGATGTTTAAAATGTGTATGTATATGTAGATATATATGTGTGTGTACATACACCTATACATGTAAAATGAGTATGAGTGTATATACAGTTTTTTTCTGATAATTCTCTAATACTCAAAACCTTTCAGCAAATAAAGTAACTCTACTTAATACTAGATCTCTGAAATATAATGATTACAGTAATTAAGTTGGAAGCATATAATTCTACTTGGGGAGATGCAGGAGGTCTATGAAGTTGTAGGTTACTAGGGTGAATTTTAGACTAAATAACAGAATTTATCATAGTGAGATGAAGGTAATTAATCTCCTAGTAATAGTACAAAGGAAGGGGCCTGAGCTGTGGCACTGTAGGGTCTCTGCTATGGTTCCAGCATCCCAGATAGGTGCCAGTTCATGTCCTGGCTACTCCTCTTCCAATCCAGCTCTCTGTATATGGCCTATGAAAGCAGTGGAGAAGGCCTAAGTGTTTGGGCCTCTGCACCAGAGTGGGATACCCAGAGGAAGCTCTGGATCCTGGCTTCAGATTGGCTCAACTCTTGCCATTGCAGCCATTTGGCGAGAGAACGAGCAGAAGGAAGACCTTTCTCTCTGTCTCTCCCTCTACCTATAACTCTCTCAAATAAATAATAAATACAATAAAGTACAAAGGAAATCCAAAGCAAACAATAGAATATTTATGGAAAAATGGCAGGACCAAGTCATTAATTATGAATAACCACCTTGAATGTAAATAGCCTAAATTCTCAGATTAAAACATACAGACTGGCTGAATGGTTTAAAAAACAGGACACATCTATTTGCTGCCTTCAAGAAACACACCTCACCAACAAGAATACTTTCTGAAAGTGAAAGGATGGGAAGATATTCCATGCTAACAGAAAGCAAAAATGAGTGGGTATAGACTTTAATACAAAAACTGCTAGAAGAGACAAAGAAGGGCATTGTATAATATTAAGGGATCAATTCAACAGAAAGATGTGACTACCAGTAAATGTATATGCACCTAATGTCAGGGTGCCAGACTACTTAACAAATAGTCTAATGGACCTAAAACAAATGCTAATGGACCTAAAGGGAGCCATAGACTCCAATATATTAATGGGGGACATCAGCACTGCACTTTCATAATTGGACAGAACAACTAACAAAAAAATCAACCAAGAAACAATAGAGTTAATCTACATTATGGACCAAGTGGACCTAACTGATATTTACAGAAAATATCATCCCACATTTGAAGAATACACATTCTTTTCATCAGTACATGCAACTTTCTCTAGGACAGACCATATGCTGGGCCACATAGCAAGTTTCAACAAATTCAAAACACTATGGAATACTACTCAGCCATGAAAGAATGAAATTTTGTCTTCTGAAACAAAACACAAAACAAAAACAAAGGGATGCAACTAGAAGCCATTATGCTCAGTGAAATTAGCCAGTCTCAGAGAGATATGGGGCTGATACTCTAGTGTAGTGGATAAAGCTGCTGACTGCAGTGCCGGCACCCCATATGGACATCGGTTTGAGTCCCAACTGCCCAATGTCTGATCCAGCACCCTGCTAATGTGCCCAGAAAGGCTGCAGAGGATAGCCAGTGCTTAGTCCCATGTACCCTGGTAGAAGACCTAGAGGAGGCTCCTGGCTTCTGCCTGGATCAGCCCTGGCCATTGAGGCCATTTGGGTAGTGAGCATGTGGATGGAGGATCTCTCCATCTCTATCACTGCCTCTCTTAACTCTACCTTTCAAATGAATTCATCTTAAAAAAATACGTTTTCTCTCTTATATGGCAGTTAACATAGAACACAATATTATGTATAGGAATTAAACCAACATCTTATAATTGTTGTTTTTAGCCCTTTTTTATTCTCCTGTGGAACTCTGGTCTTTCTGTGTTTTCCTTGTTGGATATTATGGTTAGTGGTGAACTAAGCCTACTATTACAGAGATTACATTTTTGCAAAAATGAATGAAAAGTAAATATGGGAGGGAAAAGGGGATTGAGAGAGGGTGAGAGGTAAGTAATCTTTTTATAACTGCACCTATGAAATACATTAAATCTGTTCACTTAATTTTAATAAAAATTAATGGATATGTGAGAAAATAGCATTTTTTGTATTTCTTTGTTCATGGGTGGGAAATACATTTTTCTTTGGCCTCAGTTTAGGAAATTTTTGATAATGAATGGAAATAAGAAGGGAACTTGAAAGTCTAGGTTAGATCTGAGGCAGTTTTTGGTTAAGTATAATATATTGTATATGTAAGAATGTCATTCAAAAATTGAGAGCCAAAAGAAGATGATGTTTATATTTTACGTAGATTCTGGTGGTGAAATGAGGTGAGAGAATGGATTAATATGGCACAAGATTTACGACAGGGATAACAATATTAATATTGGAAAGAAACACAACTTAAGTGCCAAATGCTATGCTAATCTTTTCATGTATGATGCACATGAGTGAGATATGATGATGCACATGGAGTTAGCCAGTACTGAACATAAATAACCATGTACTGTGTCCAGTCTTACCT